TTTGGCAATATTTTTAATTGCGTTATATTATATAAGGAAATTTAATTGATTTTGAATCGAAAAAAATAGTTTTGTTTTATTAAGGGTTTAAATTTATTAGGGTCCGCTTCGAAATCCGATTTTTGGCAATATTTTTAATTGCGTTATATAAGGAAATTTATTTGATTTTGAAATCGAAAAGATAGTTTATATAGCGACGGACAATCACTGAGCACGTTCTAAGTGTTGGTTTTACGTTCTAAGTGTTGAATTGGCCTCCCTACGTTCTAAGTGATGGTTTTACGTTCTAAGTGATGAAATTTTGCCTACGTTCTAAGTGTTGATTTCGTGCCACGTTCTAAGTGCCAAAAAAATGGAAACAATTTTACGTTCTAAGTGGATGTCCGTCGCTATAGATAGATTAGATTAGATTAGATTAGATTAATTTAGATTAGTTAGATTGATTGATTGATTGATTGAGATAGAGATAGAGATAGAGATAGAGATAGAGATAGGAATAGAGATAGAGATAGGGATAGAGATAGAGATAGCGATACCGGTAGGGATAGGGATAGAGATAGCGATAGGGATAGAGATAGCGATAGGGATAGAGATAGAGATATATGAAAACTGAGGGCTCCAGTCCACAAGTACCAAAAAGTCTGGGCATTTCCTAATCTCTCCCATAGCCTCCCTGCCCCACAGGCTTTTTGTTCACACCAAAAAGCTGGAAGACCGAGTCACCCCGGCCAGTTGATCAGATTGGAGCTAGTGCTGCTGTTGTTCTTTCAGTGCGGATATGCCTTTCCCCTTGATTACCGGCTATCCCTTTGTCATCGAGGTTGCAATCACAAACTTGACACTGGTCAAAATAGGTGGCATGGTAACAAACAGGTCTAAGAAGGTGATTGCACGGATTGCTTTAGCCTGCGGGGTCGTGTGAAGGATCCAAGCGTGTAATCTAGTAGTGACCAGTAGCATTTTCACAGCAAGGGTTGCGCTAGGGAGACTGACAGCTGCTAGTAGTCTCGGCACTTATGTTGCTGGTGACGGTTGCCGTCTTTGGCGACAATGATTTTGATGCCACGACGAACATGACGCCGTGATCAGAATCCTGATGGTGGTGAGGGGGACGAAAGGGTTTCAACCCGATCGGCTTGCCTCACAGGGAAACTGATTGTGGTGAACTTGTTAAGTCGGCGACGAAGTTCCCAAGAGAAAAACATAGTCCATGTTCAGCCAAGGATGGAATTCAGGCAAGTGGCAGCACGACCAGGATGTGATTGAATGAGTTTGTATCCAGGCAGGACACAAGTTTGAGGACATTCGGCCCAAGCAAGCGTGAAATAGAGGAGGGGCAAGCTGAAGCAAACAGTTCAAAGATGGGGTGGTTCGAGGAACCTTGCAAGGAATTGAAGGTGGCCGATCCTGCGAATCGAGCATCGCACTTCGAAGCAGATGCAAACGAACGGGGTGTTTTACAAGATCAGCAACACAGTGTACACTGTCTACACACTTGACAAACCGTTTGGCGTCTATGAGTCACTTCTTGTTTCCCATCAAGGGATCTGGAGATTCCAGTTTAAGGCCTTTTTCAGCACAAAAGAAAATTGAAACTGCTGTGATGAATTCTGTTCGAAGAAGCTGCTGAAAACGGAGTCTGTTCTATACACACTGAATGGAAACAGTCGTTCACGGAGCGGAATGAAATGACGAAAAGCTGCAGGTACGTCACGTGGAGTTGATCAGACTCCATATCCTAGTCTACTGCATGGAGCTTCGTTGGCGACAGCCATGCAGCGACTCTGTTGCCCCCTGCTGCTAGTAATCAGTTAAAACTTAGACGCCGGAGTAATTCTGATTATAGCCCTTTGGTACAGGGGTTGCCCCCACACACACGAAGGCCGTATGTCGCAAAAAAGGTGCTGAACATCTAAGACGGAAAAACGGAAAGCTGAATTATGTACAGGGAGTGCGAAAATGGATCAGCAGCCATTGGTGGCAGAGAAAACAAGGTTGACCTGAGCAAGGGTGCTACGAGTTTGAGCAAAAAAATGTTAGTATTGCAACAAACGGGACAGCTTCAGCAGGGTTGTCAAAACAGGGTTGTCAAAACAGGTTCTCGAGAATCACTGTCGCACAATTGCGTTTTTTACAATTTCAACGCTTGGTGGACATCAGCTTGGCTAGACCCTTTCTGTACATACAGGGCTCCCAGCTGGGAAAGGCTTGCAGATACCAAATCCGGAGGGTAGGAATATTTTCGAATTAAGTGAGCCCGGCTCTTGAATCCGCTCAGTCTGAGGCGGAGAGATCCCGCAGAAACACAGTCCCGAATTTGACGAATGTCTGGCCGGCGATATTGTACAGTTCGATCCTGTATATTGACATCAAAACCCAGTAACAGATCGCCAAAAGCAGCCAAGAGCTGAAAATATATGTCAAATTGGACTGCACAATCTCAAACATGTCCCTGACATACAGACATTTAGTCTGGAAGGCAGCTCGTTTGAAGGTTCCAGAGTAGGTAGACTGTGCAGGGTCTCCTCGAGCAGAAAGGTTCACTGAAATAGTCACCTAATTGCGATCATTGTCAAATTGTTTTTCATGAGCCAGCATTCATTGATCCAAAAGTTGATGTACGGCATCAAGCAAACGAGTTTGGGGAACGGAATTGAAAAAACCCATCAGATCATCATTGACACAGGCCAAAGAAATGGAATCATCAGTTGCTTCAAAATGATGATGTACCTTTTTCCAAATCTGAGGAATGCTGAGTTGGCCAAAATCCTGCGGCCACGTTTGTTTGCATATGGAATCCAAGGCTCGGCTAGCTGCTTTCAGCAATGTGGCCTGGAAACTCTGAAAATAACTAATCAGTGCGCGACCTTTGGTCCACCGCTTTTTTCGTGTGAGAAAAACAAAGCAAGGAAGCTGTGCATTTTTCCGGAAACCCCACTTATATCTACGGAGGAGACGCGGGGAAAATGCGTCGTGGATCATTTTTTGTGCCACGGCTTCTGTGGGCTGGAATCTCAAAGAGAGCAGGATCATTCCATGTATTTAAAGCTCCTTGAAAATACAAGCGAGCTCTCAAATGTCGTGCTGGAAGAAAAAATGTAATTGCCAAAGATTTGACTCCAACAACAGTTGTTCTCAACCAGCGTTCAACATGCCGTTTAAAATCATCATGTGCCAAAAACGGGATGAACGGATAGCCTGTACAATTTACACCTCCAGGGTGTGAAATTCACCGGGTCGGATCTGCTGGCAAGTCACGTAACTACTTCGAGCATGAAGGCTTAAAAGATGTAATATACGCCGGTCTTTGTTTTGGTTGGAGTGTTCACTGGGAACACTGCCCACAGTGCGAAGACGTCTTCGCAAGCGCTGAAAAAAGGCGAGGTCCCAATTTGATTGGTGGTGAGCGGCTGGCTTGAAACTGCAATGTCCAACCTTCAGATTTTAACCTCAAGACTAGAAATAAAGGATGGTTAAGCATGGTTTGCCAATAGCCGAGCAAACAATGTTCACGAACCCACGCTTGTTCATAGGTACTATGTGGCTCCAACACAATCAAATTAAAAAGAGGAAAATTGTTGTTGGAAAGCCAGTACCTAATGGATAATTCAACAACCGTTCTCAAGTAGTTTCAACTTGGCCGCTCGATTGAAATCTCGTTTGCTGGCTGACATGCCAGTGGAGCCGACATAGAAATGGCCATGCTGGCTGCACACGGGATGAGATGGATCAACCGGATGAAATGGCAGTTTGACGTAAACTGCACACTGAGATTGAAAAAATGGATAAGTATAAGTCTCTGGGCTCACATTCAAAAAGTTCAATCTGTTGCGCCACTTACGAGACTCAATCGTTGGGGCTGAAAAACGTGAAAGCAACAAAACATGAATCAAGCTCAAAGCCCACATAGCTAAAGCTTTCGGAATATGAGGTATTACTATGAA